GCGAGAGCAGGCCTTCTATTTCGATAACAGCCATCTCAGGGGAGCAGCGAATGGAGCTTGCTGCAGCATCTCTACAGCTCAAAGTCTGACGCGAAGTCAGCTCACACTACTTACTCCGCTTCAAGGCTCATGAGTGCCTGCGGCACTTAAACGAAGGCTCAAAGTCTGGGTAAGAGAGAACGGGAGACACTGAATCACTCAATTCTAGCGAGCGATCTTCTCCACACCATGATATCAGGATTATCTTCAAAAGGGGACCGTATGGCACCGGCATCAAATGCAAATTCAAATAGGATGTATAGATCCTTACAGGCTGCTGCGGCGCCCTTCTGGTATAAGCCTCAATTTAAAGGTTTAAGAGACAATCATTTCCATCATTCTACTGGATGCAGGAAAGGTTCGCTTTTTCCACAACTTCCCGTGCTTCCTGCTCCATGAAGGTCATGGACACTCCCTATTGGGACTTCACCGTCCGTGGCAATGGCCGTCAAAGCCATACCGCCGATCCAGTCCGAATTCTCTACAATCTCTTGAGGTACGGTGATGGCGTCGCATGCAGAATCGATCGGTTTCTCGGGGCCTGTTGTTGAGATGAAAATGACCGCGTTGTTATCCAAAACAACCGCAAAAGATTGCGCGACATTTGACCACCGTATCCCTGCACGTACTTGATATGTGAAATAAGTTTCGTGGAGACCTTCATCTGTGACAGCGGCACTATCTCAACCTTGGCCTCCAGGGAGTTCGTCCATTGGTAGGCTACCTTGCACAGACATTAACGACTTCGGTGCCCACGTGAAACCTAATTCAACGGACAAGATGGCAGCTCTTACGCTCACACGGTCTGGGACGAGGACACTGAAACTGGTACAACCAATATTTGCGATCCGTGGTTCGACAACACCAACTTCTCCAGCACTTCGGACATGTTGAATAACTGCAGTGATAACGATCTTACCGTTGAAGTGTTCGAAACTCCAGCTGCAACTTTACTACACGAGTTTCTTTACCTTGGCATCTGCGACAATACCCAGGCACCTTTCAATCTGCGGGTGAGAAATATGGCTCTGTGGAATGGTATAATTTGGCCCGCAACGACGAGAACCAGGCTCCGGAAAACGCAGACAATTGAATGCTTGCAACCATCGGCACTTATTGGGACAAGACGTGCAATCGCCGCATCTTGACGGGGGTACCCGCCCTTGACAACCCACCCACCACGAATGCAACTGCAACTGCTGGCACGCAGGCGACAAGCGCGGCTCCTGCACCATCACCTCCTCCTCCACCTCCCCCACCTTACGCACGGGCACATGCTCCTTCCCTTTGACAGAAATCCGGTATCACCATACTTACCCTCAAGCACGCCACCAATCAATCAAGTTCTTCACTCTGATCCTCTCAAAACCAGGACTAGCTGCCACCTCAAATTCGTCTCCAGGAGCCACCCACACAACACTCAACTGCACATGATCAAAAGTCTTTTGATGCTGAATCGGCAGCCCCATTTTTGCCATTGCAATCCTCTTTGCTTGATCTATGTGTCCTTCCAACACGATTGCAACGACTTCCTTGTCGAAAACAGCGACTTCTTCCATCCTGCGCGTTTTCCCCGGGGTGGCCGGATCTCTAGGGTCAAACAGAAGCCGGATTCTCGTGGACCAAGCACCATAGTGGCCATGTGATATGATGACTCCGATCTTGCCATCGGCTCTGACGTAACGCTCTACCGGTTGATGTGTTATTGAAGCTTCAGACTCAGCGTATGGAGGTGGAGGTGTGGTGGCATTCAACTGTTCTCTACCTGTGCCCAGGGAACCTTCAATTTCACTGGCTGCATCAGCATCGCGGGCTCCGCTTGGCGATGCCATCGCGTCAGTTAACCTCCTAGTGGCGTCCATCGCTCCAGACAGGTCCGGTGTGTTCCCTCGACCGCCCCCAGCTGTCCGCAGACGTGGTGGCATTCTCTCAAAATTGGCCAAAGTCTCTGTGAGCTTATGTTGTAGATAGAGTTCAAGGTCATTTTAATGTCGAAATGGAGTTTTTCATTTAGCAGAAAACATACTGTTAGCAAGCAAACTTTTTTAGAAGCTCAATTGGACATATGCAATGCCACGTACTTGGTTCATGTCGTGTCTGTCAGCACACTAAGATCAAGTGCTTTATTTGTGATTCGCTTGGCCAAGTTGCTTGCCGATCCTCTTGCCTTCTACAGCAATCCAGTACCCTATTGAGTGTCCTATCTGGAAGGGTAGATGAAATGACAGCAGCGCTGGTTGCATGTCATCGTGCTGCTCATGGAAGTAGAAGACTTAATGAAGGCTCCAGCGTTATCCATTGCTTCTCCTTCTGTATCGAGGGATGACAGCAGATTGTCGGCAAAGTTTAGATTAGAGCCATGTTCTACGGTCCAGAGGGATCTTCACCAAAACAAGAACGCCAAAAAGATGTGGACCAAGGCCGGTATGATGTGGCAATATGATGCCTTGGAAAATAACAGATTGTTAGAAAAAATGTACGCGAGCAGCGGTACGAGGTGGCAGAGTAGAGATTTGGCAAATAGAACTCCGTTCCAGGAAAGAGGATGAGAGCCTGCGTCGAGTGGCAGGATGAGACTTCAACATAAAGAAATTGTTGACAACGACTGGGAAACAATCAGTGTTGTTAGCAAACCGGAGCTTCAACAGGCAGAGTCTGGGTGGTATGAGTGGTCTTAGCGTCGTCTGTTCGAATGTAGGTAGCGCTTGGTAAGTTCGTTATTGAGTGGTTCTTACAGATATAGTGAGATCGCAAGCAAGTCAACCAGCCTCAGCTTATTGTTCTCCGGCTCTAACATTCCCTGAACCAGTCTCAATATCAGTCTCTCCTCGGTTGCTAAAGCTATACAATACTAGTCTCGGGCAATAATGGAAGAGAACCAAAGATAAGGGATATTTCACTGGCAATGCTCTCCATGGTCCGGATCGTCGGTCCAAAGGCCTGGACATGTCCAAACTGAAGCCGTTGACGTGGTCTGCAATTCTTCCACCGTCTGTACATGTCCAGACCAAATGGAACCGTCCGTCCTGATTGTCCAAGAGCCTAACATCACAACATCTAGTGAAACTCTTAAAGAAACTATGCCCATGATACTCAGATATCCAACCCAAAATCAGGACATCGGACCATTGGTCCTGGCCGTCCATCCGCGTCCTCGTACATTGCCATGGCCGTCCGTTCGAACACCTGGACATGTCCATCCTAATGGTCCAAACGGTGGGGGCGGACCATTGGAAGCCTTGGATCATACTTGGCGGTTATATGGTTGGCCCAGAACACTTTCCGGCAGCCCAGCTTTCCTGCACCAAGATGAATGGGTCTCCTACCGGTCACGCTTGCAATGCGTGAAGTAATTCCATTGTCGTTGTTGTTAGGGTCCTTGGCCACTCATCAACACACTAGTTGCCATAGTGTGAGGAGTGACATCTGTATCTTAGCCTCAAACAGGACGTCTTCGCGCCTCAGCTACCCCTTTCATCCTCAATCCCTTCGCCGACATAAATCACGCCAACCTCGCTTGGTATGCGACTGTGACGGCGCCCGAGACGAGAGAACACATTCTCGGACCGAAGCTTGCTTTTCGGAGCCATTGCACCTTGGACTGCTCTCTACCTGCCGTCAGACCTATCTCGAGGCTTTCCCAATTTTATGGTCAACCAATTTCTTCTGCTTTGAGGACAGCCGTGTCATGTTCTTGAACTTTCAATCGTTGGCGCCACACCAGGTATCACTGATCAAGAACCTTCGCCTCGACATAAACCACTTCGTTGAAGGTTGTGAGTGGGAACTCAACCTCCAAAAGTCAGACTTGGCATCTTTGCGGGGCCTGCGAGAGTTACAACTTTTTCTTTAACACTTACGAGTCGCCCTCGACGATGGTGCGATATCGGGACTCACAGCTGGTCGACTCGGTCCAGAAGCTGTCAGCCCTACGACGCTCCTCCGCAGTGATCTCTATCAGACATGGACATGTTTATCACGCTCACAGTCCGGGTGAATTGGCACTGAGTCTCAAAACAAAGGAAGGCCTTCAACGTCTTCAAGAAACGCTTGTCGATAAAGCGCATGCAGGCCGGGAGAGATGTTGACCTGGGCCGGTCTTCGGTTTCGGATGCGCCAGAACATTCACCTTTTCGGACCAAAGATTGCGAAGAAGTTGCAGGAAGGGGAAATTGAGAGGAATGACTGGTTCTTTGCTAAGTAGTAGTGAACGTGGCAAGACTTGAGAAATGGCTGGCTGGTCGATGCATGATCGAGAATTTGGAATAAAGTCATAAATAGCCCGACACATGTATGGCGAATGCAAACTTATTCCTTCAGCTGCTCACACACTCGTAACCTCAACTTCTCGATGCTTTCATCATGTTATTCAGTACACGCACCCCCCATCCCTCCTGAAGGCGACCAGTCCAGAATTTCCTTTCAAGGTCCACATACGCGAGTTCGTGGACGGTCGTAATGACAGTTCTAGAGAAAAGGAAGTCGCTACCTAGCATTTGGGTCGGCTGTTGTTTGACCAACTCGAAGGTCAACTTCGGTTTCTGCTGCCTCGAAGCAGTTCTTCTAGGATTGCAGCGCAGCACGATGTATGGACCTTCCATGTCATAGTCAAACAGGAACAGAATACTGTTTGGTAGAGGAATGATTGGGTCCACTCAAGTCTATCGATGTTTCTGCCGTTATATAAAAGAGTGATTAGGTCTGCCCATGGTTTGCCATCACCTAGATCACCAAGGGCATCCTCAAACTGCGACGGGACGCGGAAAGGACAGTGGTGATGCCAACATCAAAGTAACATAAAGTGCGAGTCAATCAAAGAGTGTGATGCTTCCGTTACCCAATCATAGAAGACTCGCTTGTTCTCCACCCTCCCTTGAGAATAATCCCTCATTCTCTTCCCCTAAGCATGCCCCCGGTTAGGTACCGTGGCAGTCGTGAGAACCCACCATTCCCTACACCCCCTACGCACCAATGCTACTGGACCCTGATGCTTCGGCGTGGGATGAAGCTGGAGCTGGCTTGATTGCTCGTGCGGCCTGGCCGGGAATTTTCTGCCCCTGGTGCATGTTCTTGTAGTGGGCTGTGAGCTTGTCCTTGCGAGTGAAGCCGTTGCCTTCTCCATGGTACTTGCATCCGATCACAGAGCACGCGAACGTGTTGGGACTGTTGCAGTGCTTGGCGGTGGTGTGGCGGCGGAGGTCCGACCAACGCTTTGAGCTGAAGCGGCAATTCTCGACGAGGCAGTAAAAGGGGGTTTGCGAGTTTGCTGGACCTCGCCGGTAATGGGGCCTCTCATGCTTCGCCCGATACTCGAGCTTTTCGGTGACGCCGGTGTAATACCTAGGATCCCAGCTGCAGCCTGCAAAACGACATAGATACGGGGTCGGGCCAGGACTGTTTGACTCAAATATGCCTATTCCAAGGCACACCATGCAGGCACATTCCTTACTAGGGTTTGTGCTTGATGACTCTTGACCCAAGCTTGGAGTGTCGACAACATCTTGTGGTGGGATGCAGGCGGCGGTGACCTGGTCAGTATCATCATTGGCGGTGTTGGCACTGTAGCCAGGTATCGCTTCTGCTAGTGGCTGCGCATGCCCAAAAGTCGCACTTCCAAGCGGGGTTTGCGTCATGGGCCATCCGATCGGAGAAAATGAACTGGGCACCCTTTGTGCCCTCCGGTTAGCCAATAAAAAAAAACCTCTCACCCATCATGCGCGGGGGACACGTTATCGGGCCAATTGATGAAGGCGTCGAAATCAAAGTGATCGTCCATCGGGAAGTCCATGTCGATCTTGGCAGGTGAACGCCCTTTCGCTTGCAGGTTGGGGGTAGGATGTGTTGGCAATGGCCCCACTTCGGACGAGGCAGGAAATGCTGGTGAAAAGCTGGTAGCCAATGAGAGCTGCTGACGGGGAGGACTTGGTGGGCAAGAGTACGAGGGAAAGGGTGAGGGAGAGCGTTGTTTATGTAAAGGTGCTCTACGCTAGCTCGCTAAATTAGGGCGTCTTGGAGGAGGAGGAGAGTAGGGTAGCTTGATGTCAGCTTGGGTATGGTATTCGATCCTGATTTTCAAAGTCTTCACCTGTACTTGTGCTAGCTCCTGCCACCGCGAATGCCGTCATCCAAGAGGCACATAACTGATCTTGTATCAGAGGGCTGACAGAGAAGGCCGACCCTTAACGCCTATGATCTAGTTCTTCGATCCTGGCCGCTGGATGTTTGACTCACCTTCTATGGTTTTCAACCACACTACTATCACGGACAGTAGACCTAGCGTCATGGGCATCGTAGTAACGAACATTTGATTGTAGTAAATCTACATCGTTGCAGAAGGGATTTACAATCGCCGAGCTCCGGCGCCTGAGAAGCATGCAGGCTTGTCACCTCCCATTCACATATCCTGATATTGTTCAAGTCATAGAACGCACGTATCTGCCCGTCACAATGCAATGATCTATAAAACCGTGTCAGTCTGAAGCAAAGCCATGAAAGGCAGCACTCACCCCTCTCAAAAGGCTCCAATGTCAACTGTTCAAATGGCTTGATCCTCTCTTCCTTCAGCTTCTGAACTTCCCTCGCGAAAACGGCCTCTGGGGCTGCCGTACTGTCGATACAGTTGGCTTTGACTGAGACCACGACTCCTCCCCCTACCTTCAGGTATAGATGGGCGTTCAGCCCAACTATCCTAGCCTGGTCAGGCTGCGCCACATCGGCAAATATGACGTCGACCATTGATACTAGCATGCGGTAGCGGAGAGGGTGGCGGGCGTCTTCTATGATTGGGATGACATTTGTGCGGTGTGTGGCCATGTTGATGAGATCTCTACCTGAGCGGTGGGAGAATTCGACCGCGAAGACTGTGCCTGTAGGGCCAACGATATCGGCAACGTGAGAGACGGATGTGCCGCTTGCTGCTCCCAGATAGAGGACCTTCGCGCCTGGGCGGATGCTACCGGAGACGTCAGAGGCTGAAGATGCCAACCAGTCGGGAAGGATTACTCACAAGATCTCATCAAGACCTCCGAGGATACCTGCGGCAAGCTATGGTTTGTCACTATATGGTTTCTTTCTTGCCAACAGCATTCATACCTTGGAGCGGAAAGGATTCCAGACACGGTATTCCGTCTTGGTGGCTGGCGCAGCGTCGCCGTTTGTAAGACCAGTTGTTGCGCTAGATTCCACTGAGATTCTCTTCTCCCCGTAGACTGACTCTCCTGGTGTGATGTTCTTCGTTACCAGCATGTCTTCCTTTCCACGAGCGACGAAGACTCCCGGATGCCTATGGGGCTCCTGTACAAACCCTGAGCTCTTGTCTTGTAAGGGAAAGCCCCTAAACGTACGATAATAGTTTTTGCGCCGCCTTTTGCGCCAAATGCGCTTCCTCCCCTTCCACCTCCACGGCCGCCTCCTCTAGGGGCGCCACGACCCCTTGGTGCTCCTCGCCCTCCACCTCTACCTCCTCGGTCGCCGAATCCACCTAGGCAGAATGCTTTAGCAAGAGCTCCCTAGACACCGCGTAGCTGTCTGACTGAGTGCAAGCATGGTGACATGAACGTCATGCAGCCCAGCAGCACCAGGAACCACAGGGACCATACGAAAAGACTAACCTCTACTGCCACCGCGAGGCGCACCACCTCTGCCTCCACGAAATCCACCTCGATCTCCTCCTCTCGATCCTCCACGGTCTCCACCGCGACCTCTGGGTGTAAATGCCATAATCCTGTATGTTTATGGATGTTCGAGAATTATGGCAATAGCGTAGGTTTTTGGGAAGGATCTGTGGTTATTGTAGTAATTTTGTTCCCAATTCTGGAAATTGCAATTTTTGTGACTAGGATATCCAGCATGTGGTCCTCAATTCTGCGAAGCAAAAGCTGGTCAGCAAGCTTGGGACTCAAGAGAGGCCTTGATTATCCGTAGGAAACATACCTCGCGCCATGTCGCGGGCTCTGATAATTATTAGTAATTGGATATTGTGAGAGCTCGAAGCAAAAGTTCGCGGACGATCATTTTCCAGATCTGCTAGTCTCTAAACAGACTAGCGGCACACAAATGCTAAGCGACTCTGAATTTGGAGCATCGTCAACGCCCGCCAACTCCAGCAGGACCACCAACAACGACAACAGTCAAGGCACCATCAATATGGTAAGCTACTCTTGCTCCGGGCCTGATGACTCCTACCGTTTACTTTCCACTACTCCAAACGCACCAAGCACCGCCGAATCGTCTGGCTTCGATCACGCATCTCTATCATCACCTGTGTCTCATTCTTGATTCTACGCCGACTAATCCGCTCCTCCTCTTCTAGGTCCGCTACGCAGCCACCACGATCGAGCAAGGCAAATCCGCCCGCGCCCACGGCTCCTACCTCCGCGTGTCCTTCAAAAACACCCGCGAAACGGCTCAGGCCATCAATGGCTGGAAGCTCGAGCGCGCGCTGACATACTTGGGCAATGTGATCGATCATAAAGAGGCGGTGCCCATGAGGCGGTATGCTGGGAGTACGGGGAGGACTGCGCAAGGTACGTGGGATGGTGCCATCTTGGTGGGATAGGGCTGGGAAGGAGGACGCCGGTGGAGTGGAAATTGGGTTGGGAAAGGGAAACTGGGACTCTTGAGCTTCGGATAGCTCTACATCGCTACTCTGGATACAAATATGTGAATGCGATGCTGACGTTGAGGTAATGGACAGGCAAACAATTCGGTGTCTCCAAAGCCCGCTGGCCCAAAAAGTCCGCCGAGTTCCTCCTCAGTCTCCTCAAGAATGCCGAGTCAAACGCAGACACCAAAGGCCTTGACACTGGCAACCTGATCGTCAAGCATATTCAAGTCAACCAGGCCCCCAAGCAGCGCCGTCGTACCTACCGTGCTCATGGTCGTGTATGTCACCCCCTACTGCGCACTCAGAGTCTGACACAGTAGGATCTTTGGGACCATCATTGCTAATTTTGGCGATTACAGATTAATCCTTATATGTCAAACCCGTGCCACATTGAGTTGATTCTGACGGAAGGTGAAGAGGTCGTGCAGAAGGGCCCTCAAGTCGCGGAGATCGAGAAGAAGAGATTGAACAGCAGGCAGCGCGGCGTGAGGTTGAGGAGGGCTATTACGCAGGAATAGATTGCGGGTGTTGGTGCCGAAAAGGTTCTGATCGTTAGGTACTTAGCTTAAAATGCTCTAGCTAGCTAGTCACAATCATATCATTGCAAGCCGGAGAGTATCTTATCAACCTAGAATCAAGCACTACGCTCTGAAACAGTTCTCACTAGAGGAGGCACAATTTCAATGAAGTCTATTTTGGTTTGCAAACGCTATCTATCAATGGGCTGAGTATCGCTGGTAAAACGTATGTACAAGCATGAAGCTCTCTCACAGAGGAGCGGTAAAAGAATACTCTACCATCATCCATCATAAAAAGATATCTATCGAATTGGCTTTGTGTTCAAGCTCATCGATAATCTCAGCATGAAGATATGCTGTATCATGTAATCTATATCCGTCATAGCGTCTCTCATCTGGCTCGCTGAAATAGGTTAGATGATGCTGCTGAGGACATAATGCGGCTAGGTAAATAATGCCGGATCACGTCAAAGACGTGGGGATCTTAAGACAAACTATTGACAGGCCTTGGTGTGGAGGTTTCATCGGTTGTGCCGGCGTTGAAGTCGTGTGCTGAGGTATGGAATGAGGTGGTGGGCTGGGAATGCTGCTCGTGTGGACCGAAGCACGTAAAGCGAAGCAGAGCTCTTCGAAAGCCCATCAATGTGTTGTATTCGCATTGATCTATCTGTCGAACTTTTGTAACGTTGAGCGAGCATGATAATCGAGAAGGTCGTCGGTTCGGGAGGTTGGGCTAAAGGTCATACCAAGTGACAAGGGTCCTGTATTTTTGGCATGAAATTGATGGAGACGATCAACACTCGGTAGGGAAAATCAATTTTTTCACATGGCCACTGAAGCGACCGGATCCGCCGATGGGTTGCCCGTCCTGACAGTTGTCCCATTCAGTCACATCCTTCCAATTCGTCTCCATGGGGAAGGCAGTCTGAAAAACCTCCAGCTCGTGGTCGTGCAACAGTGGGATGATTTGTCCCAGAAGAGGGTCATCGTTGCGATGCATCATAATAGGCATCAAATCGAGAGCACGCTTGCGAAGGCAATGGGGAGGATTGTTGTTGACCTCGCCGAGGAAGGCTTGGTTGAAGTCCTTCATATTGACAAGCTTGACATAGCCGCATGAGACGAAGTTAATACGCTCAAGTGGACCTGGGTTACGCATTTTAGGCACGTCGTGGAGGTGTTGATAGGCGTAGCGCAAGAGGTTGACGGTAGGCCCTGGAGTGATTGCGTCGATGACATTGCCCCAGGAGCCGATGCGACGTGATTCGACCATCCATCCAGTCCCGTCAGATCGTGGATCTGGGGCACTGCCTCTTTGCTGGAACAGATTTCCCACAGCAGGATCGCCGAATCGTCGTGGAGGTCCATCGGGAATACGTAGCACCCCATTATCAAGCGGATTAGGCTCCATGTTGTCCAGGACCCCCGAGTGACCTGTGAGCGATACTGAATCTAGTGTGAGGGTACGCAGATTGGCTGCACGCATCTGCGCGACGAAGGTCTTGAGTGCAGGTGGAGTAATCCAACAATTGGTGAGAGTTAGGTGCTCGACATGTGGTAGCGCAAGCATGTCAGCATTGACGCTCGTAGCAGCATGGTGGTCGGAGAAATCGGTCAGAGGCGCAGGAAAGATATGCTTATTACGCCCAAAGATTCCAACTTGATGCTCCCCACCACCAAAGTAGCCTAGGCTCAAGGTTTTGATCCCTGGAACAACAGCAATACATGTCGCAAGAAGCTTGTGGAATTGCGTTGTAGCGCCAGAGGGGCGAATATCTGGAGCTTCAACAACACCAGAGTCTGATTTGATAATGTTGCGCCAGTCGGCGGAGACGTTGATGGTCAGGGTGTTTAGGTTCGGAAGAGCTTTCCAAAAGTCTTCGCGTTGAAGAGCTGACAGGTATCTGCTAGACAATTTGGCCACAGTGAAAGACTGCACATGTTGAAATGTATGCGAATTGTCCGTCAAGGCCATGCAGTAGCTTGAAAGGAAGGCACGTTGAGCCCATTCGGTCTCTAAGAGCCATTCCTTCTGTGCAGGCGTGAGGTTGTTGGGAATCAACGCAGCAGTATGAAAGGGGCTCTTTTCCCGCCCCTGGATTGAAGCAGGGTCATGAATGTTCACATCTCCGATTGTGAGGGCCTCCGTCGCTCCACCAGTATGAGGAGTGTAGGCGAGGTTGATACCTTGAAAGACGAGAGGTCGATCCGTAGGCCTGTCTCCATTTGCATCGACGAACACGACGCGAGGGCCTCTAAGTCTCGGAGAGCCCACAAGCCAGGAGTCCGAACGAGGGTTTGGCGGGAAGTGGAGGTGGACTTCGAAGTATCCCAATTCATTTGGCATGAGCGAAGTTTGATTGGCCAGGATGGTGTCCCCTTGAATGACATAGTCTGTAGCAGTGGCGGGACCGAGCGAGCGTACGATGCCGTTCCATAAACCTTGACGCTCGAGAAGTTTCAAGCTCTTTTGAGTTTCTGAGACACCAAAGATCTTAGGCTTCTCTTGGAAGAGCTGAGCATGATCAGAGATGTCTGGTCCACAAAGGTATCCGAGACCACTGTCGATGGATACACCAAGCTCACGGACTCCCTGAAGGTTGGAAAGTGCCGCAGACATGCATCGGAATTCGTCGGCTTTCTTTTCGAGGCCTGCGCAGAAGTCGAATCTACTGTAGTATGGATGGGGCCATTTGTACTTGCCCCAAAATTCCGAGAAGAATTCGAATTTGCCTTTGACTGGAGGCTTCACCAATTGATCTGTGGATGGGTCAGCGTAAGATTTGGAGATCTTCAGGAGGAGCACGCCACGAGCTTACCCTCTTCCACATCGAAAGCCATTGCAAACTTCTTGATGTGGGGCCCCCATGCTTGGAATACCTTCATTCCGTCATGGACAGTCCTTTCTTGCTCAACCGGTCCATATATTTCTGGAAGCAATGAGTCAGCACATCGGTTCCGGCATGGGATTTGGGTCGGTCCTACCTGTGGCCTTTCCTTTGCCCTTGGTGTCAATTTTTGTGTCCAGAGCAGGACCATCATGAATCATCATGCCATAGATCTCTGGCCGAAAAGGCACGACCACTGTATGAAAGACGATGTTGGATGTCTTCCGCTCAAATTCAGGGTTTACCAAGCGCATCTGCAACAGGTCATCGCGAGAAAGATGACCCGCGATGTTATGGAACACCTCGAGAGGCAGGCTATCCTTTGGCCAACCCAGCCTATTTGGTCCAAGTGGTGCATGATAGGGCACATTATCAATTGGAGGTTTCTCATCAAAAACGTGATACTGCATCCTAGGCATACCAGGAGCAATGTTGATGCACGCTGGTATGTACGGTGCTTTTGTCCGGAAAATGTTTAGAATAGCCCGGCGCTTTTGGGCGCCAAACCTATGAGGGAGAAGCTCAGAGGTAAAGACGAGGCGGCGGGTACGAAGGTATCTGAATGGTGGCAGGTAGGATGATGGTCGAGGAAGAGAAGGAAAGTAATTGGCTTGGCGATCCATTTGGCGAGCAAGGGTTAGCCTTATGGCTTCTAGCGCCGCCATGTCCTCGGACGTTCGTCCACTCGTCGCTGCCAACCCATGTACAGATACAGGAGCTTCAGCACGCAAAACGGAACGTTGCTGCGGTTCGGAGGTTCCAGTACTAGCACGTCGACCATGACTTGCGGGAGCTGGAACGTGTTAGTGGGGATCCGCTGAGCTGATATGTGTTATTGCTTGCCTTGTGGTAGGCCCGCAGTCAGTGTAGTGTCTTCTGTACTGACATCTTGAGGTGATACGGCGTCACGCCTCCTCTTTCGATGTGAGCTCTGAATTGCTTCCGCTCTTCGTGTCAGTCTCCGTACGGCTTGGGGTTCCCAACCAGCACGAGTCCTAGCATTTGTTGAGCTCATACCCATAGATCCTCGAGACCTTAGGTTGAAGGGACGCGAATTCTGAGTGGTCTGGGCAACGACGGAGGATGATTCGCTTGACGAAGACGCATCAGATCTGCCTCTTCTGATTGATACAGGGGCTTGCGACTTTTTCTGCGCAGGATCTGTCTCGAGCTTCACCATTAGTGAAGGCTTCGCCAGTCGCTTCCTCTCTCTTCCAGTTGATGCTGGACGTGTCTGTCGTGGGACTCCCAATGCAAAAATCCCGTTTAGACTTGGCGGATCCAGCGATGAGGTAGGGGGGCCCTGAATGCCAAAAGGGCTTTCCAGGTTAGGGAAGACAGGGTCAGGAGCGGTACCATATGAGCTATGTGAGCCGGCTGGAAATTCTCCGGTATCGAGGTATGGGAGCATAGCAGGATAGTCATCATGGTATTCTTCTTCGCCTAGATCCTCGGCGGCCGTACTGCCATCGTAAGGATGCTCGAACCATGACGCTTCATGTGCAGCTGGTAGATCGGCATTTACTCCTGGACGATTCAGACCTTGCCTGACACGGGGGCGAGGACCCGGCGCCATCCACGATGCATGGCTGCCGGCATGAACATGAGCTAATGGTGGACCAGGGCCGTTTCCAGACAACGGCGACTGTGCAGGAATCAATGGATCTCGAGGTATATCCATCATCTCTGGGTCCATCCTCCCAGCTTCTATCTCTTGCAACATATATTCCTCGGAGGTATGCGGCGCATACGGGTTGTACTGATTTCCATCCGAACCATACTGGCTGTCCAAGGGGCGAGTCCGCATGTTTGTGCTTTCGCGACTGACATCTGAATCGTTTCGATTGTGCAAAGCGCGATACCGCGCGAGGGTCCTTTCTTCGTGTTGAGCCCAGACATTAATAAGTCTAGAATTTGACTCCGAATACTCCTCTGGGGTTGTATGTGCTCTGGCTTCATCATCAAGCTCTATTAGGCGCTGAGCAGTATCTGCAGCGTTCCATTCATCAACCGATCTTTCGGGGAAATTGACCATCGGGGTAGCTGCTAGGTGAGCTAGCCAGATGTCCTGAGCATTGGGATGGCTGTCAGGCCCGCCGCAGTGTGCATTGGCCATAGTGGGGAGCGGCAGAAATGTCTGCTGAGATGAGGAAGGAATGGATGTGTTCTATTTGCAGAAGCTGTCAGCGAACCCTTGATGTTGACTTGCCATTGAATTAGCTTCTCTTCCTACTTCATACGCACCACAACGCTAAGTTACCATGCTTGCTACTTCAACTGAACCCCTCCGCTGTAAGGCGATGTTGTGGGTAAATCTGTCTGTGGTTCCTTTTTCAGGTTGTGCATCCACAATCAAGCTTGAAGTACTAGACTAGAGTCTCTCAGCACCAAGATCAAGCCAGAAGAATCAAGTCATATGTATGGCTAGTCTTACCTGATGGAAGTTAGAGAGGTTGGAACCCCGATCTGGACTGCGCGGCTTTGCCCACTTGAGTTGGAGCCGGACCGGAGAAGGGGTTTATTAACAGGTACACGTTGAAAAGAAGCAGCTATAAGAGGCATACAATGGAATGAGTCTTGAAGACATGCGGGTATATGCATGTTCGTTGATGGACGTTTTTGTGCTGCATGAACTGGTCCCACTCCCATAAGGCGTCAGTAGCGCCTTGGCACCAAAACAGGGGGCTGAGCTCTTGAGGAAAGACGTCGTGGTGGGACACATACTTTCCGTTTGCAGAGACCTTGAACTTTGGGAGGATAGAATTTGGACAAATCTCTACAGTTATCTATCTCGCTCAGCTGCACCATTGATCATTAATTTAGTGTTGGTCTCGAATTGCAACGCAGGGCAATCAGTCCCACCGTTCTTGGAGTACATGCCACCCCAGCCTGCTGGAGTTTATCATCGTGATGTTATGCCGGGCAGCGGAAAACTCCGAGCTTCCCTCATCGTGCTCTAGCACTCACTGATGCAGGAATCAACAGCTCTTCATCCCTATCTTATGGTCCGCCGTTCCGTCATTCGACGTCTAACTCTAGAGGATCAACTACGAGGTTCATGAGATCCAGCGGTCACCACAAGCGTCCTTGAATGATCTGCTTGTCTGCTCATCCGACAAAGCTTAGACATATTCCTAAAGCTCCTTACCCAAAGTTAAATGCTGGACGCGACGGCAACGATTCTATTCGAAAGTACTGCTACGAAATCTTGGTAAATCAGCGGCTTGTTGGTTCGAATTACGTACAGCCTATCTGTACACTTCTTGGGAGAGCAGATCAGGTTCCAAGGTGTCAATGCATTCTTCTCCCTTACACGCGACCAGGAGGAGCCGCTCGAATGCTTCGGCTTGGATAGGCCGCCTCTTGTCTGACATCAGCACGAAATCATAGTACGACACCACCGGTGGTGACTGAGATTGTTCGACGCACTTCAGTGTGTCTCCCACTGGATTGTCCCATTGCGGTGCTCGTGCAGTGAATAACGACGGTGCCAAAGACGCAACGTTATGACAAAAGCCCAGCTTGATACACGAATAAAGCCCTCGGAGTAGGTGCGACATAAGAATGGTGCGGCGGAGACTCTCAGCGAAGATCCATGATGGCCAGACGGGCGAATTGGACGCGACCAGCTCATTCTTCGTTCGCATGTGAAGCTGGTCAGTCCACCGGACAAGAATGACCTCATTCTGCTCAGCAAGAGCTCTTTGCCGTATGTCCCCGTCAAAGAGCTGGATGATATGTACCAGTATCAAAGCTTGAACGCCTGCCAAATTGTCGGCGATTGGCCACGTTGCTTCGTTGCTCTTGTGAATCAGCTCTGCCACTTTTGCTTCCATAATGTGGAACACAGCGAGCTTGTTGGTCTCGGTCATCGTCAAATCAAGCGCATAAATGGCGAAAGCGTCTTGCATCATCTTAGGCAAGGCACTATGATACAGGCGTGAATGAATGAACGGTGTCTTGCTTTGAAAGATGAACATGGCTGGATAGTTTCCGACGTTGGTGATAAGGTAGGCCCTGCTATCCCCGTTGTGAGCTCCAGATAGTTGTGTGGCTGGTGGGTTCATTGGCGTCGTCAGTCCGGATGTGGTTGACAAAGATCACTGCTCCATGATGTCAGGGACCAGGAAGGATGCAAAATCGATGTCAGACAGAAGGTCATCGGAAGGCAAGTCAAACGGCGTCTTCCAGCCATGGCCAGATGTAATCTTCGATGGAGAGGATCCTCCAACCTGGGGCTTCGAGGGCGAGGACAGTCGTTCATTGGGATACGAGCAGTCAGTGGCTCTGGTCAAGCACCGAGAGCATTGCGGCAATCGCAGATCACAACGCCCTTTCGCAGTGGCGCAAGTGACACAAGATCCGCAATGGGAGGGCGGCGCCAGTATCATCGACATGACTCCAGATGTTGGGAATGTGTGCGATCTCTTCCAGTTGTCCTCTTTGCTTGTTTGTCCGTCTCAAAAGGATTCGATATGCGCCTCCCTTTCTTGCTTTGATAGCAAAATACTCATCCAGTTAACGTTCCTTCTTCCATTCTCTTCAAAATCGGGTTTTTCCCTTTGAATTCGAATTCCTTGATCAAGGTGATGCTGACGCAATCGACTCTCGAAAGTAAAGCAATTTGCCTTTTCTCCTTTCAAGCTAAGTCGGAGTCTAAAGTATTCCCTCTCGAACCCTTTCTCCACCGTTTAGACTTTGCTTTCTGTAAAAATCAGTATCTCGCGGCTTCGACGTTGCTGCTTACCTTGCACTCTCCCCACTCGGTGTCATATGCATATCTACAAACCTGGAGGCTATCTCTCATATTACTCCGGGCTGTAGCCTCGAGTAATGCACATTCCATTACTTTCTCCTCACAACACACCCATTCTATTCTCTGGTCTTCTCAGCTTGACATACAGACCTCAACATGAGCGAATTGTTTCGCGAAACGCTTTTCGGGCAAGCTGTCCGATTTTTAACAGGCAACAAAGTACTCCAGTACCCGAAGAGCGCACAGGCTTCGAGTTGCCACCTGGATATTCTGCCTCGGGCAGCTTTGCGGCCCCTCGCGGAGACGGACAATCTTCACGAGGTGCGAGTCCACCACCTCTTGGGACTGGTGAGGAAATAGAGGCGGAAGACCGTTTAGACTTAAGAGGAGCGTTCCGCAACTCCCATTTGACTGGGAAAAGCATACTATTGTACCGTCAGTATCAAAAGACGGAGCTGTTTTTGTCGACTGGTACTCATCAGACGATCCTGCTAATCCGCAGAATTGGTCGAGCAAGAAGAAAGCATTTGTCGCTATGCAGATATGGTATGCCTTCAAATTCTCAACTGCCAAGAGCCAGCCCCTGTACTGACTTGCTTGTAGCTTCTATACATTTGCAGTCTATCTCGCATCCTCAATCTATACACCATCCAAACCAGGAGTAATGGGAGCCTTTGGGGTCGGTCCCACAGCAGTATCTCTAGGGCTCGCACTATACGTTCTTGGCTACGGCATAGGACCTCTTTTGTGGTCTCCTATGAGCGAGATTGTATTTATCCAGTTCTATAGTACCACTTTCGGACCAAGACTGACGGATTTACGTGTAGCCCATCATTGGCCGCAACCCGCCGTATCTCGTAACCTCCGCCATCTTCGTCATCCTATGCGTACCAACCGCCCTCGTCAACAATTTTCTGGGTCTTCTAGTCCTCAGATTTCTTCAAGCTATTTTGGAAGCCCGTGTCTCGCAACCGGAGGCGCGAGCATGGGTGACATGTACTCGCTACTCAAACTTCCGTATCTTATGACCTTCTGGGCTGCCGCTGCCACGTCTGGCCCTGCCCTCGGACCGCTTGTGTCTGGTTTCAGTGTTCCGCCGGAGAAGTGGCGATGGTCTTTGTGGGAGATCCTTTGGGTCTCGGGCCCGGTATTCCTGCTCCTTTTCTTCTGCTTGCCGGAGACGTCGACGCCGAACATCCTACTACGCCGGGCCCGAAGGCTTCGAAATCTCACTGGGAATCCACGGCTGAGAAGTCAGAGCGAGGTTGTCCAATCAAAGTTAACAGTCGGAGAAGTTGCCAATGGTGCTGTATGGAAACCGATGCAGATTCTCATTCAAGATCCAGCTATCATGTTTGCGGCAGTATACACCTCTTTGGTCTACGGAATCTACTACTCCTTCTTCGAAGTGTTCCCATTAGTTTATATGGATTTCTATTACTTTAATTTCGAATAAATAAGTCTAACATTCTTATTCATTACTGTTATTACTATTCTAGCTATTATTACTTATTTTAACTTAAAAGTCTTTATAGAATCTAAGAAAGAACTAACTCTCTTAGCTTAATTTATAATAAATATATTTATATATCTATTAAATAATAGATAATTATACTTCTTATATACTATTTAAATAATTTAAAAAAATATCGACTATAGAAAAAGAGTATTATTATTATTTAATAGAAATATATTAACTAGTTTATATTACGAGCGTATTCTATATTCTTAATATATTACTTAGCTCTTTTATCTATTTAGATTTAGCGTATCTTAATAAAAGCATTATCTACTATTTAATGCCTTTTTCTTATCTATATAGTTCGATATCTTAATTATCTTATTTAATATATTTATATTTATATAATATCTATATTAATTTTTATAGTTTATTTTCTAAAGCGCGATATAATATATATAAATTTAAAAGAATTAATAGAATAACTATTATTATTATAAATTAACTTATTTTATATTATTAATTTTTAATTCTTAAATATATTATAATATTATTTATATTAATATTATTAAAAATAAATAAATTTAAAAATTTAATATTAAGTAATTATTTAATTAATTTTATATTAAACTTAATATTATTATAAGCTATAATATTACTTATATTAATATATTAATATTATATATATTATATTAAAAACTTCTTTTAAAATTTAATTCTTATAATATATTTCTTATATTTAAAGATTTAATAAATATAAATTTACTTTATATATCTTAAAGCTTTAATATTTTTTAGAGATTTTATATTCTATTATTAACATACGAGTAAAGATTTATAAATTAAATTTATAATTTTTCTTTTAATTAGAACTATCGAGTAAATTTTAATAAGCGATCTTTAATAAGCGATATCTAAATTTCTTACTTTTAAATATCTATAAGACTAAATTTAATAATTCTTTTTTTATCTAAAAGTCTATATTACGTTCTATAATTTAAATAAAAAATTCTAGAAATTTAATAGAAAATAATAAAAAAATTCTAAAATTAAATAATATATATCTATTTTTTAATTAGAGCTATCGAGCGAACTTTAATAAGCGAACTTTAATAAGCGATATTTGAATTCCTTACGCTTTAATAATTATAAGATTAAATTTAAAAATTCTTTTTTTATTTAAAAGCGTAAGTTTTATTCTATAATTTAAAAAAAAATTATAAAATCTTAATAGAAAATAAAAAAGTTATTCTATATATAAATAATATATATATATTTTTTAATAAGAAGTTCTAGAAGGGCTAGCGAACTAACTTAGTCGATTTAATTAAAGAGCGTAATAAATCTAAATTTATAATTAGCTATATATATAAATTTAATTTTTTTTAAATTAACTCTATCTTATTCTTTTATATATACTAATTATTAAATCTTATAATAACTTTATATCTTTTATAGTTTATATTCGCTAGCTAATTATTAATAAACTATACTTTTATACTTTTAATCTCTTTATCTTTTAAAAAGTTTATTATTATTATAATATTAGATTTATTATTAAACTATATAATAAATATTAAAAATAATATTAAGAGACGCTATAGTATTAATAATTTATTTAAGAATTTCTTATTAATAAAAGAATAAGATAAAGCTAATTTAAAAAATCTTAAATTTATATATATAGTTAATTATAAATTCGAGATTATTACGTCTTTTAACTAGATCGACTAAGTTAACTCGATAGCTCTCTCGAGACCTCTTATTGAAAAAAATAGATATACGTTATTCACATATAAAATAACTTTCTTATTTTCTATTAAAATTTTAATTTTTTTTTTTAATTATAGAACGAAATCTAGACTTTTAGATAAAAAATAAATTTCTAAATTTAGTCTTATAATTATTAAAGCGTAAGAAATTTAAATATTACTTATTAAAGTTCGCTCGATAGTCGAATAGCTCTAATTAAAATATATATATATTAATATATATAAAAGAATAAGATAGAGCTAAGCTTGAAAATCTTAAATTTATATATATAGTTAATTATAAATTTAGAGTTATTACGCTCTTTAATTAGATTAGCTAACTCATCGCGGGTAAATAAATTAGCGTCCGTAACTATTAAAATCTCTTATTCTACTACGCCTACTTTTAACCCTTTAATAACTTTACTATTTTCTATTAAAATTTTATGATTATTTTTTTAAATTATAAAGCGTATATTACGCTTCTAAACGCTTTAAGAATTTTAAAATTTAATCTTATAACAATTAAAAGACAAGGTATTTAAATATCGCTCACTAAAGATCGCTTATTAAAGATCGCTTATCAAATTTACTCGACAGCCCTAATTAAAAAAAACGATTATAAATTTAATTTATAGGCCTTTACTCGTATAGAATAACTTTTTTATTTTCTATTAAATTTTTAAAACTCTTATTTAAAATTATAGAACGAATTTTAAGCTTTTAGATAAAAAAAGAATTTCTAAATTTAATCTTATAATTATTAAAGCGTAAGGAATTTAAATATCGCTTATTAAATTTACTCGATAGTCGATAGCTTTAATTAAAAAATAGATATATATTATTTAATTTTAGAATAACTTTTTTATTTTCTATTAAATTTTTTTTTTTTTTTAAATTATAAAACGTAATTCGAGCTTTTAAATAAAAAAAGAATTATTAAATTTAATCTTATAGATATTTAAAGATAAAGAGTTTAGATATTACTTATTAAAAACTTATATACTCTATTAAGAATATTCTTTTATATAAGCTTAGATAGTCGAGTAGTAATAATTTTAATAAAATTCGAAACTATTTCACTTCGTTCTCGGTTCGAATTTATTAATCTCCCTCGCTAAAAAATCGTAAAACTATAAAAATCGTAAAATCGTAGAAATCGTAGAAATCGTAAAGTTGTAAGAATCGTTAAATTAATATAAATTCTAAAAATTCTAAAAATTGTATTAATAATAATAAAAATAAAAATATCTATAATATATAATAAATTAATTTCTTATTAATGAAATCTAAATAAATTTAGAGAATTAATTCTCTTAAAATCTATTATTAATATAACTTCTCTTTTTTCTATTATTTTTTTACTATTATTTTTTTAAATTATAGAACTTATTCTACGCTTTCTAATAATTTAAAATTTATAAAATTCGATCTTATAATTCTAAGTAAATCTTAAATTAAAGTATTTTTACTCTTCGAAAGTTAAATTTAATCTCGATATTAGAAAAAAATAAATTAATTACTTTTTATAAATTTAATTTATAGATTTAAACTTATTTATTTATATTAATATTAAATTATTATTTTTTATATCGTTATTATAAATTAATAATATCTATATTTTTAAATATTAAAATTATTTTCTAAAAACTATATATAATAAATAATTCTTACTTAATTAATAGTAAAATATTTAAGATTTATAAAGAATTTAATTTTAAATTTATAAAATTAGCGTAAATACTTTTTCTTATAAAATTATAAAAGTATATTTATTTAAAATAGAGTATTTTTATTTTTATTAATATATTTATTAAAAGTATAATAGTAATTAATATAAATAATATTTTATTAATTAATATATATAATAAAATAAAATAGAGTTAAATTAAAAAATCTTAAATTTATATATATAATTAATTATAAATTTAAGATTATTATATTTTTTAATTAGACTATCTAAATTAGCTCGCTAGCTCTTCTAAGCTCTCTTATTAAAAAAATATATATATATAATTAATATATAAAATAACATTTTTATTTTCTATTAAAATTTTAAGATTTTTTTTTAAATTATAGAATAAAACTTATTCTTTAAAATAAAAAAAGAATTTTTAAATTTAATTATATAATTATTAAAGCGTAAGAAATTTAAATATTACTTATTAAAGCTCGCTTAATAATTTAATAATATAAGATAATAAGATTTCTTTTAATAGAACTACGTAGTAGCTATATTATTACGAGATTTAAAAGCGTAGTTATAAGAATAAATAGATTAATTACTAGATAAACTAATAACTAAAGAAAAAAGAAGAGTAAAAAGAATTTATAAGTATTTAAAACTTTATTAAGTATATTAAATACTCGCTTTAATTATATTAATATATATAAAAGAATAAGATAGAGCTAAGCTTAAAAATCTTAAAGCTATATATATAATTAATTATTAATTTAAAGTTACTACGCTCTTTAATTAGATCGACTAACTTATCGCGAATAAATAAATTAGCGTTTATAACTATTAAAATCTCGCTCTCTTATACTAGATATATATTATTAACACATAGAATTACTTTTTTGTTTTCTATTAAAATTTTGAGATTTTTTTTTGAATTTTAAAGCGCTATTTATGCTTTTCGAATTTTTAAGAATTTTGAAAATTTAGTCTTATAACTATTAAAGCGTAAGGAATTTAAATATCGCTTATTAAAGTTCGCTCGATAGTCGGATAGCCTTAATTAGGTATATATTATTTAATTTTAGAATAACTTTTTTATTTTCTATTAAAATTTTGAGATTTCTTTTTTTAAATTATAGAACGAAATATAAGCTTTTAGATAAAAAAAGAATTATTAAATTTAGTTCTATAATTATTAAAGTGTAAGGAATTTAAATATCGCTCATTAAAGTTCGCTTATCAAAGATCGCTTATTAAAGATCGCTTACCTACTTACTCGATAGTTCTAATTAAAAAAAAAAATTATAAATTTAATTTCTAGGCCTTAACTCGTAATTTATAATCTAATAAGCTATATAAGCGAGCCTATTAATTCGCTTTAAATACCTTTATTTTTATAATTATATTTTCTCTTAAAAGATTCAACTCTTAAATCTTACTATTATTATACTTTATAATTAAATACTTATAGATTTCTTAATATTATATACGCTATTTATTATTAGCTTAAATATAGCTTAAATTAATAGCTATTATATTTTTAATCTCCGCTTATTTTAGCTATT